TTTAAAACAGTGTTTTAGCACCCGGGTCTGGGGGAAAACGAGGCTTACCAGTAGGGGTATTACCGTCGAAGGGGGAGCGAGTGGCCCTTTCCACTTCGCTCTACAATTGGTGAAAGAACTAGGTTGCGGGGAAATGAAGGGAACAAACCTAAAAAAACTGGAGGGGCACCGAAGGGCCTCTACGGGCTTTGGACCACCCAAACAACGTGGGGGAGGGGCCCTCGGTGACTGGCCCGGGGGTCTAGGGGAAAAGGGTTTCTCCCCCCTTTTAAAAGCCCATCGTGCCCGAATTGTCTGCCAGTGTTCCTCTGCCAACTGCTAATAAAATCCCAACAATGTGTCCCGGTAACCCAAAGTAGGGCTTGTCGCTTCGGTCGTCCAGGCCAATGCTGACTGCTTTAAATTAGGCTTCCGCCGCGGGGCATTCTTATCCTCCCAGTACCTCCTGGCGAAACCACCAAGTCGTCTTGTCTTCTGGCCGAAAGTATAACAGCCATCCGTATTCCGTGCAGACGAGGAACCACCCCGGGGCTTTATGAACTCCGGGAGGGCCAACTCCGAATGCGTCTAGTGAATCGTGGGTCCGAAGCGCGTGTCCGACGATGATAATTTCGACTGACGACTGGTAGAAGATCCCGGCTGTTAGCTTGCTCCACTGTGTTTTTTCCTATTCATAGGTTTTCAATCTGGCTATCCTGATCAGATCATAGTTTTTTTTTTTTTTTTTTACGAGATATTTTGCTGTCATCACAAATATTTAATGGTCTGTGTCACACAGACCATTAGATTTTGCTCTTGCATCAAGAACTCTCCTTCTTCCTTGAATCTATGGTTATATAAAATCAATTTGGCTCTTGATGGAGGTTTCGTTCAATCTTTACCACATATACGGTTGTGAATCTCTACGGTGGAAAAAATGTATTTGTGATAAAGAGATTGTGCTTGCTGCATAGTTCCAATACTCTTTGACCATTTTCATTCCTGTCACTGTTTGAGCTTCATGTTGGCTCAGAGACTGTTCGTATTCTCCCCTGTTATTACCCACTCTCCCGGTAAAGTCTCCCATTACATATAGTTTGTTGTTAACTTAAAATTTCTGCTCTTCTATATGGTTACCATTGCACGGTGCATTGATCTGTATGTACGTTTATGTTTGCTCTTCTCGGTGAATTGTTGACTTTAAAATTATGTCTGAGTGACTGACTGACTTTCTATCCCACTAGGACATCACACAAGCGATAAACACCCGATGACACAAAGTGCCACCATATGGATGAGGATCGTCGTTGAGAGGTCCTAAAAACCACGTTCAGACAATTGGCCATTTTTATGGCCTGCCTTTATTGCGGCCCCTGGCAAAAGCCATGTGGGGCTTCAAATAACAAAAAATGTCATCATAAAAAGGACTAAAGTGGGTATAACATCTTAAGTGTCTGAGTGATAACTGATGTCTAATATTAAATTGGCTATGTCTGGATGTACCAGGAAACCCACTCCATTCTTCGATGTTGTTCCTCCTGAGTATTTTAATATGTGGTCTCCGTGTACTTTCTTGTTTCCGGTTCGTCATATATCAGCTAGCCATATTAACTTGATTTTTGTTGTTTCCGTTATTTGAAAAATCACTTCTGTGTTATTTCTCCTGTGGTGTTAAATGTTGCAATCTTGTATTTCGCTTTTCTATCTCGTAGTCCTTTAACATTGCCATGTTCAAATTCCGTTTGATCAGTCCGTTTATATCTCAATGTATTTGTTGTAGCGGAAGTAAATAACAAAAAAAATACGTAGCCTTGATTCTTTCATTGTACATCAGGTCAGTTCTGGTAATCTGTATGTTGACGTGCCGGACATTCGCTGATATAAATCGATATTTTAAGCTATGGGCTTCAAATGTTAACTTGATCAACTTTGATGTATTTTCAAACACCAGCTTAAGAAAAGACGGTTTTTAATTCCATATTCTTTTAGTTGAATGTCTACATTATACATTGTAAACTAGTGTTTTCTCTTTTTATATTCTGTAGGTGACACCTTGGACTCTGTTAGTGGAATGCCAGAACTATATGACTGTGTACACTTCACGAACTCTACGAGAGCTGCTTAGACTCAGCCTGGCGTCTCCTTCTGATTGCCGAACTCGGTCGTACCCACCGCGTCTGCGGAAAGCAAATCATTGTCCAGGAGTCTTGGTTTAATGGGACAGTCGTGGATACTTGCAACGTGACCGGTAAATGGGTTGTCTATGATTCGAATGTTGTTAAAGGTTGTGCCGATTTGTCTGGTCTGGTAAACCGTGTGCGAATTGCTTCAAATTATGGCGGCACAATCTATAAAAACCTATTCTGTGCCATGTGCAACGTGAACACTTCTGACTTTGATACATTCTGTGAACGCGTACCCCTGTCTGACATTGAAGACACGAATCTACCGTTCTCAGTGTTACTGATCTTTGGGCCTCAGGGAAGACTCATGTCTGGAAGAAGTATGGTCGCAAAGTGCTCTCAAGACTCGAACTGGGTAAGCCCAGATAACCAGTGTATGCCCTTACAGTGCAGCCCGGGCAAGATTCTAACCAACGGAAGGTGCTCCACAGCGTTGAGTCAGATACGTGGCTTGGTGTACCAGTTTTACATCTACTACCTACCTAATGATTTAATAGAGATTACAGATAACACTAAATGGGCGTATTTGCTTTCTTTTGAGAAGTACATTATGTGGGCGACACTAGATTCAGGGATTGAATTTCTAATCAACTTTGCCTTTGTATTCTCTGAAAATATCGTCCCTCTCGTAGAAAATCTGACAGGCCCCTCTGTAAATAAATCACGAGGGTTTTATCTTGATTGCTTTGGAGCAGATGGTTTCATTCTGGGCCATAACTTGTACAGTCGAGACGAGGTTGAAGCAAGTATGCTAAGGGATTTTATTCTAAACAACGTAACTGTTGATATAGACGCAAACACAACAGTTACGCTAATGCCCACCTTATATCCTCATAGGAAACAAAAACTGATAAACTGCAGTACATTTGACTCAGAAAAATCTTCCTGCATTTCTCGTACCTTCAAGAGTGATTATTTTCATCAGGTGTCAGAAAAAGATAAACAAGGTTCTTTAATAATGGAACCTAATCTGAACTGTGCCTTTGTCCAGTTTAATACGACAGAGTACTTGTACATAAAGAACATCACTACTAAACATGAGAGCTGTAGCATTACTTTGAACTTTAAAAATGCTAGAATGACTCTTACAGACAGGGCGGATCTGAACATAGTGTCGATAAATGATGATGGGAAAATGAGAATCTGTCTTGAATTGCTGAATAAAAAAGAGTTATTTAGGAGTGAGGTTATTAGTAGTAGCTTTTTAAAATTGACTCTTTATGCATTAACTCTCGTATGTATGATTTCGTCAATTATATGTCTGACTATCTCATTAATGACGTATTTCCTGTTCCCGGTGCTGCGCAGTGTCGCTGGAAGGAACAACATGTTTTTGTGTGGAAGCCTTTTACTGGCCCAGATTTCGTTGCTGTCAACTTCCCATGTCCAAGAAGCTGGCCACCTCTGTACTATTCTGGCCATCTGTACTCACTTCTTGTGGCTGTCCATGTTCTGTTGGTGCTTTACTTGTTGTTTCCACATGTTCTGTGTCTTTTCTGCCAAAACCCGAAGCATCCAATCCACAGCAAAGTCAGAAATGCTGTATATGATCAAAAGAGTAGTTGCCTGTTTTGCAATTCCTGGTCTCATTGTTACTGGAGTTATCGCCACAAACTTGAGCATTTCTGGGGGAGAGTTCCTTGGATACGGAAAAAGTGCTTGTTTTGTAGACTCTCAGATCGTCCTCATCATTGCTCTGGTTGGCCCGCTGTGTTTGGTACTCTTATTCAACTTTATATTTTTCTCAATCACTGTTATAAAAATCCACAAAGTTCGTAATCTGCAGATTCGGGAATTTAGGAAAGATGACCACAATAATCTCTACATTTACATTAAACTGTCCTCCATGACGGGCATTTTCTGGGTCCTGTCTGTGATTTCTGAAGCCACGGACAATGATCCTCTACGTTTTATATCTATCGGGTTGAATGGCTTACACGGTGTGTTCATCTTCTTGTCCTTCATCTGTAACAAGAGCGTGCTCAAGCTCTACCTGAAACTTCTTGGGCTAGAGACATAGTTTCCCACAACATCAACCTCAGACAGGAGCACTATCGCCAAAGCTGTGGCCGATGTTCACAAACAGGCTCACCGATCTAACGATAAAAAAATCGTTGAATAGCGCACAGTAAGAATCAATAAACGTTTATTAAATAGACATTTACAATTAGGCTGACTGGTGACCTGTCGTTTATTAAAACTCGTGGACATGTATCCAGATATAAGAAAGGTGGCTAAGAGCCAACATATGAAGGTAGACACAGACAGAACATATATGTATAAAGGTCTCCCGTGGTTCAGTCAATATCTTGATTGATACATTTATAAATATATAGAATAGTTCTGTTTGTTCTGATATAGGTACGAGTATACCAGATCTGTAATTGTGAAGGAAGGAGTTTGTTACTTGTGTAATTGCTTTTTGCAAAGGATGTTTTACTGTCTAATATCTTCTCTTTTGTCTATAATTGCTTTTTTTTTTTTGCAACTAAATTTTGGCGTACTTCATTGCTCAGTACTATTCCCGCTTCTCTTTGCTACGAATTTTAATGAGTTTTATGCCATATGACCTTCTATTAATCTAAGTGTTACACTTAACCTATTTGCAGAGTACTGAACAATATATATTTATCATGAGAATTGTAATAAGTTGGGACGTTCCTTACAGAAAGAATTAGATAGGCTATTAAATGAAATAATGTTAATCGCTAGCTAACAATAAGTAAAATAAAGATCAATCCAAGATAATAGAAACCAGATAAAAGCTATAAACTTTAGACTTGCAAAAGTCACCAATGAGCTCTATATCGACACACTAACTAACATAATTGAAAACATCAACATTAGGCCTTATTTTTGACAATAATTTAACTTGGTGTTCTCATGTCCAAGCCGGTAACCACTTCACTTTGTGAGTTAATGTCTTTCAACTTCTCTTTTAAATTCAGATTCTCTGCTTACCGGACAGAGAGGTGATTTCTATCGGAGATATGTCATTCAAGTTGTTTTAGGTTTTCTCTTCGTACTAGTGATATTGTGGATTTATGTATGTGTCCATGAAATCTCACTAACATCAACGTTCAGTTGTCGTTTGCAGTATCCTGAAGCTAAGTGCTTCTGACTTTTATTTCGCTTGATATCTTTTCATGATAACTTCTCTCAAGTTCTCTGTTAATTTTTTTTTTTAAATATAACTTCGTTATGCATCTTATCTCCTTATTGTGTTCTCATCTTTCTTGTATAAAATCCCATCTCTGCAGCTTTTATATAATTTCTCAGCAATGTATTGACTGTTCATTATTTGCTTTTGTGCACCATGATCTTTATAGCTTTAAAGTTATCTCTACTTTTGTTTTTTACTTGATGTTCCTATTAGGCATTGATTGGCACCTTTCCGTATTTCCAGACTATAGTGTTATATTGCGCTATGAGGAGCAAAGGTCTCACAGGTCTGAGTTTTCGTGCTTTTTGTCATGAATTTGTAGCCAACGGTTGTGCTTTCCATGCCTTTTCCACCTGTTTCTTCCAGCACGGTGGTTGCACAAATGATGTTTTTTTGTATTTGTTCTCTGGCTGTTTTGCGCAACGAATGCTATGTACCAACCTGATCTTTATTTGCAGTATATCTGAACGTGTGTCGTGGTTACATTTGCTTAACATTATGTCCCTTTGGGATGAGAACAACTCATGGCAGATCGTAACTTTCTTGCACCCTAAGTGCATCCCAGCTCATTGTGTGTACATCAGTACTGGACGCTAAAGCTAGGTCGATCACTCCATGCGAGTCTCCGGCTCTCTTTCCAAATCTTGTGGCACGACCATCGTTTAAAACAATGAAGCTAGTGCTTTGTAGGGCCTGGCTCAGTGCAACCTCCTGCCTGTTTTCTGTCTGATTTCACCACTCTTTTGACCGAGCTTCAAAATCTCTAGCTATTAAACATTTTCCATCATACTCATCACAATCTGCTAGGAATTCCGTGTGGTTAGAGGGCTAAGCTCCAGTACGGTTTTTTAACAAAGGAATAGGAGGGGGAAGGGGCTGCAATGAGCTTAAGCCGTGTGTACGTGTGAAATAATAATAATAACAGTTATACCTAATATTTTTGTGTAACGAGAAAAAGTATAAGATATTTAAATTATAACAAAATGTATAGACAAACACTGGGGGGGGGGGGGGGAATGAAGCTTGTATAAGTGGTAATTGGAGGAAAGTTTCACCTAGCACCTCTGCATATATTCTAGGGGCACTCTTCACCACCAACTGCCTTTTCACCATAACCATTTTTTTAATTGGAAGGGGGTAGATGGGAGGCGCTTGTCTATGTAACTCATCCAAGCGCGACAAAACAATAAAAATATTGGAGGGGGGAGCCTCACCGCCACACCTAACCCTTCTCCCCAGTGCCGTGCTAGTATTTTCTAGCTAAAAGGAGCTCTTAGGGGGAATGGAGAAGGAATCAGGTTCAGGATATCTGAGCCACTATGTTCCAGTGCTTAAGATTCAGTTTATTCCAATCTGTAAAGATAGAAAGGGTCATTTTTATTCAACTCTCTGCTTGTGACTAATTGAACACAAGACCATCGTCACAACAAGCAGACCCTAGTCACTGGGCCACTACGGCTACCATTAGCACTCAAGCAAGTAGTTGAATAAACAAACTTCGAGGCTTACAACATCCAAGGTGGTTGTAGATATTTTAAAACTGTTTAATCTTCACATGCTGATTGACACAATGTAGTTATTCCCTTCTGCTGCTGTAGTCTGACTGTTGAGGTCAAGGTAATGACTAAGGCAATTACGTGGCTGGAGACAGAATATCAACCACGTATGCAGCGGGATTTACTAAGGAGGGGATTCCGGCACTTTGAGACTGAATGTTTGGGTGTGCAATGAGGATAATCTGTCGAGTAACTAGTTACTTCCTGAACAAAATATACTATTCAGTGTCGTATTATATCAATATTTTTTAGATGTGTTATTGCTGGCAATACTATCATAAATACCTTTAACTGTTTTCTTTAAATGTTTATTATTGACAACAGGAAGCTGCTCTGATGTAGCGGCCAGCCGCTTGCCTGTGGGTCCGAAGGTAGTCGGGCAAACCCACATGGAGGCGGACTAGTTTTTGAATTTTCAGATCGACCCAACCTAAAGTGGACACATCACCCATCGAGTGCCGATTGGCCTATTGAACGTCTACCACTATATACTCAGTGGGGAAAAGGGTCTTTTGCTTTTTTATGTCTGTTGATATAATGTAACTTTTGTCTACTCTGTTCAACATAATTATAATATATGCTGTCTTTTCTGCTTATTGTACTATTTTTTTAATCGCAGCTTTAAAAAAAAGGGAGGGGGGGGGGTTCGACGGACTTAAAGTTTAAAGATTAAGGGCCGCCTGGCTAGTGCGGTCACCATGACATCTGCAGGCTAGAAGTTTATTTTTGCCTCTGACAGAAGAAAAAGAATATCTCTATCTTGCCAAGGGATGAACTTCGGTCACTTGAATGAGAGCCAAGCGTACTTACTGCTCGGCCAGACCCCTCCTCATTTCAAATAAATAATCGTAAAAACAATGTAACAGTGTTAAAAATATTTATTACAGGTTTCGTCAGTTTATTTTAATTCGTCACAGTGTACATCGTTTGATTACTTTTTATTTATTTGTCTTTTTACATCCTAATAAAAGCATAACATTCCGAATCTTTGTTTGTTTTCGGTCAAAACATCTCTTATTTTCGCAGGCTAACAGTGTTAGATTGTTTTGTACATACATACATACATACATACATACATACATACATACATACATACATACATACATACATACATACATACATACATACATACATACATACATACATACATACATACATACATACATACATACATACATACATACATACATACATACATACATACATACATACATACATACATACATACATACATACATACATACATACATACATACATACATACATACATACATACATACATACATATATAATACATACATACATACATACATACATACACACACACACACACACACACACACACACACACACACACACACATACATACATACATACATACATACATACATACATACATACATACATACATACATACATACATACATACATACATACATACATACATACATACATACATACATACATACATACATACATACATACATACATACATACATACATACATACATACATACATACATACATACATACATACATACATACATACATACATACATACATACATACATACATACATACATACATACATACATACATACATACATACATACATACATACATACATACATACATACATACATACATACATACATACATACATACATACATACATACATACATACATACATACATACATACATACATACATACATACATACATACATACATACATACATACATACATACATACATACATACATACATACATACATACATACATACATACATACATACATACATACATACATACATACATACATACATACATACATACATACATACATACATACATACATACATACATACATACATACATACATACATCATACATACATACATACATACATACATACATACATACATACATACATACATACATACATACATACATACATACATACATACATACATACATACATACATACATACATACATACATACATACATACATACATACATACATACATACATACATACATACATACATACATACATACATACATACATACATACATACATACATACATACATACATACATACATACATACATACATACATACATACATACATACATACATACATACATACATACATACATACATACATACATACATACATACATACATACATACATACATACATACATACACCTACATGCACCCCCACTCGTACATACACATGTATACACTCACACAAACACACGGTCATTAATGCACTCAATACACATATATACACTT